AAGAACCTTCCCCACGATGGCTGTGCTGGGAGCCTGTATGGCCAAATACATTTAGCTTTTTGCTCTTGACTGACTGATGTTCTCAGGCTACGAATATTTTAAAGCCAGGGTCATAATTGTGGACATTTCTTTAACATCAATACTCCCTTGGTCAAAGAAAGCTAATGTATTCATGGTTCACAATAACCCATGACTGTTCTGTTGCCCCACAGCCCTTATTACACTAAGGGTCAAAGCATGTATTCATGTCAGTGAAAGTATCTGTTAATAAACGGCATTGCCTGCAAGTGAAATGATGCTTTAGTGAGATACAATCACTGTAAAGACATTTCGAAAAGCTTTTATGTTGTTATAATGCTCCCCGATGACAACGCCGTGACAAATGTGAGGATGAGCACTTGTCAACTTGGGGCCGCTCATCCAAACTGACAGGACTCCGGCTGCAGTGGCAGTAACGCAGATATTTTTTAATAGTGCATTGTGAGAAAAGGAAACGTCCCAATACGAAAGCAGAGGGGATTAATATGGTGAAAATGTTTTAAACATTGCTCATTTAGGTGCAGATTGCATTCCTCAACTATGAAGGGCCCAAGATTATTATGTATTGTTTAGCACAGTAACTGTGTGAAGAATTCACATTGACATTTACTTTTAATTATAATGATATAACATTTTGAAAAGCTCTCAAGCTCCAATGATCCAGCTAGTGAAAACATCCTCTGGTGAGCATTTCTATTTTTATTCTTCCTCTCGGCTTATGAAATGATGGCTGTGTGAGTTGTTGCGTTCGTAAATACTTAAAGGAATGGTTAGACATTTTATGAAATATATTTTGCATTTGCTTCTTTTCTGACAGTTCTGGGAGAAAACAAATCAATACTGTACTTATTTTCGTCCTGTTAACATGTTCAATTTTCCACAAAGACAAGAAACTGGAAACATCTAGCTGGGTTCAGTCCAAAGGCAACAGCAAGCAGCAACTAAAGCCTACGAACTATCATGTTGTGTGTTCTCTGGTTGCCTAGCAACCTCCCAGAGACAATCAGACAGAATCAGGTAACCCTCCAATATCACAATGTTTCCTTTTTGCATTCTTGTTCTATGTGAATTGCACAAATAAGATACAACATGTCAATCAATACTGTTTAGAGGTGCTGGAAGGCAGTTGTTGTCGACGTTGGAGGTGTTTTTCTTTTTTTTTGTTTCTAAGCATTGAGTCGGTTTTAATGCTGGTTTTAACATTTGAGACTGGTATCATCCTCTTATCTCACTTTTGGCCCGAAAGCATATATGTGTATTTATCAAGATTTCTTTTCTATCCTCTTGCTTTAAAAAATGTATTGAACACTACAGCATTAGAACTCACAATCCAGCATCCACAGCCAACTTTAAACAATGGGACTTTCACACCAGGCGAACATGATCCTATACTTTGCCTTGTTAGTAAAAACACATTTTTATCTTGAAGTAGCTTATGTTACACATTCAGAGTTTGCCAATGTGTCCTCCATCCCCTGCCTGCACCGTTTCTATGCCAACAACAGGACAAAAAATAATTTGAGCTCATACCTTCCAGTGTTGTAAGCGGGCTTTTTGGCAAGGCAAATTGGCAAACAAGCATTGCAATTTCTTTTAGGATTGTCCTTATTTGGTAATATCCCATTATCCAAAGGTATTCCCGATAGTCTTAATATCCCAGAAGAAGGAAGAAGTTGAAGAAGAAGAAAGAGTAGGAGGAGGAGGAGTTCTGCCTGCATAACCTGGGTCCATGCTGCATTAGTAGGACTGTCCTTTGCCTACACAGTGAAGTGCTCTAACATTAGCCTCTGTCTGCGCCCCTTCACCCTGGTTGAGTCACACCAGAGGGAGGATAGGTGGCTGTAACAACCGCTGTTTGAAGGAACACCCTGTCACATTGACATTTTATTGAATTAAAAGTTCATCTCTGGAAAAAATACTGGTCTGAATAAATCCATGCTGTTGCCCCTATAGGCGAGATGATTAAATGAGGAAGGCTTTTTAAAATGCATATAGTGTTTTTTTTTGGGGGGGGGGGGGGGTTCTGTTTCTGTCTGCTCTGTCACCATACCCACAAAAACTATAACCCAACACGCTCTTGGTTTAACCTTTCTTTCATTGTCCAGCTGGGTCTGTGTATCGGCTGTCCCTTCCTGCCCCGATCCCGGTCTTAATGGATGTAACCCTCCTATTTCTACAGTTATGCACACAATCTGTCCCGGCCTCGGGCAAGGTGTCACATCAATACATTCTGCAGCTTCCCTCCAGCCAGCCACAAATTGGTAAGATAATAAACACAACAGCAGAGTCAACTTCTCTTTGTGTCAGGGTGTGAGGTTGGAAGGCAGGACTCAAACGCAGACTTGCGGCAAACAAAAGACTTTAATAGTCACAAGGATCAAAAAACACCGGAACTGGGGGCAAACGCACACAGGCAAGAGACTACGACGATCCAAGACGAAAGACAATGACGGACAAGTGACACAGGAGACACACTGCTTAAATACACAAGGGAGGTGCAGGTGATTGGACACAGGTGGAAACTATTAGACGAACACAGGGGATGACGAGACAAGGCAGGAAGTGAAGTTACCCGGGGGCACGAGTGGCAGAAAACTACAAAATAAGACAGGAAGTGAACCACACCGTGACACTTTGTCTGCATCAATTCAATCAAGTTGCAATGACTGAAATGATTTTGCTACAAAATATTATTAAATTGTTTGTTTTCATACAATCATCAAGGAGACGATTCAGTGTCTATGAATTATTATAGAAATAGAGGAATGAAAGCTTGGTTAGAATTGATTTTTCCATATTAGAAAACAAACTGGAGCCAAACGCACACACACTGCTGCTGGACTATAGCCTTCCACCTATTGATCCACACTGCCAATAACACTGTCATTTGCCATCAGGGATTTGTAACAATCATTACATACTGACCCAGCTGGAGGACGGCAGTGTTGTCCTGCTTTATTTTATTCTGGGGCCAAACAACAAATGCAACAAAGGAGCTGTGAGCATAAAGTGATTCCTCTTTTCTGTATAAAATACAAAGTTTTGTAGACAGGTTCCGTCTTAACACTTGCTCATCTAAAATTCATTTGAAAAAAATCAAATGAACAAACGACCAACCTGTCATTCTTGCCAGAATAGAAATGTGTCACATCATAATTATCACATTCAAATGAACACTTGCAAGGCGAGCAGGGCATTATGTAATCCAGACTACTAAAATAAGAATAATGGAGTTTGGTGCATTTTCAAAAAATGTCTTAGTCACAAGCTGGCCCAGCTGGTCTGCATAATGAGTTGCTCACTGGTCTTTTTCAACTGGGAAGCATCTCGCTTAGCTCGCCTCAGCTTATTTTGGTAACATGCTTCCCACTGATTATCCTTTTTTTATTCTTATCCTTTAAGAAGAACAACTTAAAGCTTCTTTGAAAAGCAATGGATTTAGGTTTACTCAAAAAGAATCCTAACTATGGCCTGAATATTCAATAGTTGCATTAACCAAAAATATACGTGCATTTCTGTTTCAGTCAGAAGGCCTCTTTTTTCCACGTTCAATCCACAGGGCACCACACGGTGCAGGAAAACATCTCTTTACTTCCCTCCCATGCCGCGCATAATAACAGAATATAAGATGACAATATTAAAAGCATCATCTTTTAGTGTGAATAAAGAGGACTAAGGATAAACAAATGTTTAACGGGTTAAGATGAGTTGGTTTCCTTTAACCCTGGGTTAAAGACGACTGGAGGCCAAACAGCTCATTGACACTGTCTGAAGAAATGGTTCCTCTGGATGAGTGATTTCATGCAATGGCTTGCTTCAGAACTCCTTGAGATGGGAACAGGTTACGTCAAGCTAAGCGTGTAACATACATCACAGTCGCCCGCATGTAATCACTCTGCAGCCGACAGCGCGAGGCTGTGGTCAAACGGCATCAAGGTGCGAGCGCGTAAACCTCCCTGTCTCTGAAAATACTCCCCGTGGCTCCTGCTCTCTCCCTGCTGCTCCCTCCAACGACTGCGCTTTTTTTTTTTGTCAGCCCTTTCCTTAGTTCATTAGGTTACGCAGCGATCTCAAAGGCGGCTGACAAGGTTTGAGGAGCTCATCTTTGCGTGTGAAGTGGGAAAGTACAGTCGGTGGGGAGAAAGATAACAAGTGAATTCTGCAGGCACCACGTCAACCCGGGTGAGGATTGACTGGAAGACCAATTATGAAACCATCTCACAATCCTAAGCCCTTCCTATCAAATCCACGTTTATAGAGCTGACTACATGGATTACAGCATGTTACAGTTGATGCAGGAGCCTATTTGTTCACGAACGGTGCAGAGAGGAGAGTTCACGTGCTGCTGGTTTGAAGGACAGGAAGTTTGAAACAGTTGGCAAAGGGAGTGAGAAACAAGTAGCCGTGTGGAACCAAACACATGGACAAAAGGGTCATGGCCTTAAAATGGCTACTGTCCTGCATTCGAGAGTGGTAACAAATGACCATTATATATGTCGTCATTTGAGAGAGATGAGACCGTAATGTTTATGGTGAAAGACGTAATCAAATTCAACGATTTGTGTCTTACAACCCACCTAGTAGACACCGTCACGCAATTCAACCTTATAACAGGCAACCAAAAGTCTTTATTGGACACTACAGCATAATAACAGCAATCTTTGTTTTCACCCACAAGAGCTGCTCATCAGCGTCTCTGGAATTACTAAATTACTCTTTGGCCAATTACGGCCCCATCGGGGTCATCCAGCCTGAGTTTGGATGGCATGACAGGGGAGATTTTGTAGTAGCTCAGACCCACGGATGGTGTCTTCTTCTTCCTTCGTTTTTTTTTGTTAAAGCCCAATTTACTTTATCCAAAGACAAATTTCCCCATTGGCCAATGAGATACAGAGCATATAAGCCCATTTTTAGTGCATCCAGAGAAATTATTTAACTGTTCCTGGCGCGTCACTACTCACAGGCATGTGTGACGGAGAAGCTGTTGGAGGACTCCAGGTTGTCCACATTGTAGTTGAGGTTGAAGGGTTTCTCCGTCGCATTCTGGTTGGTGTTGTACAGCTGGACAGCGAACCTGAAGGCGCTGTGTTCCTGCACCGTGGAGCGCATGAACAGCCCGCCTACAGGGAAGAAATGTCACATTCAACAGCGCTGTAATTCATTCCCGACATACATGCGGAACGCACTCTTTTTTTTTTTACTCCCGTGGTGAAGACGTTTAAGAATTGCACAGAACGAGGGCAATATTTGACGAATAATAGAGCAGCGGAGCTAAAGTAAGGAGGCAAAGAAATCAACGCGTTGGCCTGTCACATAATAAATAATGCACTGCAGATATTGAGACGTTGGCACCATTTGGATCAAGTCTTTTTTTTCACCCCCTGATTTGTGCCAAAGACGCGCAGAAGTGGAGTGAACTTGCCAAGACGAGTCCTATTTGGACCATGTGAACAAAGACAAAGCACATGCAGCCAGAGTATCCCGTCGAACTTACCTATGTTGATTTGGTTAGGAAAGCCTGCCAGCGAGTCCCCCCAAAGATACAATAACACAAGGACTGTCGCAGGGGTGCGATGCCACATTTTTATCCGGGACGTGAATTTCAACTCCTGGTCTGGATGATGTGCGATAGGAGGGAGAGCGCGGAGAACCATCAACAGCGGGCTTCGTGCGCAAAGAAATCCACAAGATGCGGCGCGGGTCTCTCTCTCTCTCTCTCTCTCTCTCTCTCTCTCTCTCTCTCTCTCTCTCTCTCTCTCTCTCTCTCTCTCTCTCCCACTGTGTGCACCCACGCTGAATGTGTGCCAGCGCAACTGCAGCGCCAGCCCTCCTCTTCTGCTGCTGCTGCTGCTGCTGGTAACCTAAATCCAGTTTTATTTCAAAGATGGAGGTGACGGAGGAGAGAACAGCGCATCTCTCCTTAGTGTGCATGAGGACAAGTGAAAAGGGCCAAAGAGAGAGCGACAAAGGGGGAGGCAGAGGGGGAGGGAGAGGAGAGGAAGGGAGGGGACGTTTATCAAACTTGGCTTGACGTTGAATTATAATAAGAGCGGCCTCCCTTTTTTTCCTCCTCACGTCACTGCAGAGTTGATGTGTGAGGCGGTGTAGCCTCTGCTGGGCTTTGGTGTGTGTGTGTGTGTGTGTGTGTGTGTGTGTGTGTGTGTGTGTGTGTGTGTGTGTGTGTGTGCGTGTGTGTGTGCGTGTGTGTGTGTGCGTGTGTGTGTGTGTGTGTGTGTGTGTGTGTGGCGCAAAGGCAGAGCAGCACACACCAGCATCCTCTTAGTATGGACCAGTAGTACACTGCTGACTGGTGAGTGTGCAGCCGATGTGTGCATGCAGGCCCAGTAGGTCTCTGTCCTGTTTTCTCAAATGCATCATGTGTCCCTCCCTGTTTTAATCGGATGTGAAGCCGCACTCGTGCATATACAACAGCAGCAAAATCTGGAGCTGTCCCCTGCAGGTGTTTGAGGGCACAGAGTGGGAGCTAATGAACTGAGGTATCCCTGTTTAAACACTGGTAGCCGAGTGTCTTCACCAATTCCACATCTTAATTTATTTACTGTCGTTATCCAAGAATCCGAGTTGTTATCCGAGATATCTCAGTAGTAAAACAACAACAATAACATGGCACAGTTTCTCTCGACTACATTTAACAATCTTCCACTTATTTCCCCATTGAGATAAAGGAGCAGATACATTTCTCCTCAACCGCAGGTTAACAGACACAACAATGCACATTCATTTCACGTGGAAACACGGGCCAAATTGGGATGGGATTTTCCTCACAAAGTACCAAACGTGATGAGATGCCGGAAAATATCATCATTATCACACGTTGTTTGTCTTTAAAATTGGCTGATTCTGAGACAGCTAATAGTTGAGTGCAGGAGGACGTTTTCAGCTAGACTGAAAATGTTAGCTGTTTGACATGATCATGCAGTTGTTAAACCCTGAACATGAGAAGCAAGTTCCGCCATGGCAGTCATGACTTGGATGAGCGGAACGAAAGTCACGAGCGTCAGACAGTCATCTCTATCACCTACTGGGTTAATTGTTAAATGCTTCTCTTTGACAAAGCTGAAGTTCTGTTTGCTTCTGTCTAGACCAAGAAAGTCATGTTTGCAGCCTGTTAAATGCTGCATCTGGACTTTTATCAAACCAACCTGATACAGCAGTTTACTGCTGATATTCAGTCTTGGATATTTTATGATATTAATACTTTTTATTAAACGGCATGTAACCTAAAGCACTTTCTGTACACCACGCTGCAGTTGTTTGGGAATGTGATTTAAATACAGTTATTAAACTCCATTTCCTGGGGATGACTTCTCTTCTGCCTGCAGTTCATTCTCTTTAATCATTTATCTATTCCAAGACCGTAACGGTAAATCACTTTACTCCGTTCAGTATTGCTTACTCACTTTGAACGACTCTTCCAACCCATTAAATTAACTGAGCAATACGACACGCTATTATGCTCACAAAGCGAATGTGTGTATGTATGTATGTATGTATGTATGTATGTATGTATGTATGTATGTATGTATGTATGTATGTATGTATGCATACATATACACAGGTAAATATAAAGCTACATTTTTTTAAATGTACATACAGCAGTAAATAATCGCATAAATATTCACACTCTTCAGGTAAGTATTTAGTAGATGCACCTTTGGCTGCAGTCACAGCACTGAGTCAGTGTGGATGCACATCTGGACACTGCTATTTTTCTCCATGCAAAACAGCTCAAGCTGTGTCAGGGCGTGAACCGCTCTACTCAAGTCCAGCCACAAATTCTTGATTGAATTGAGATGTGGGCTTTAACTCCAGAAGATTCCCCATGTTATCTTTAAACCATTTCTGTAGAGCTCTCGCTGGATGCTTGGGGGTCGTTTTCTTGCTGGAAAATAAATCTTATCTCCCAAGTCGTAGTTCTCATCCCTCCAGGATTCTGCAGTTCTCCTTTACAAGCCCTCCAGGGGCTTTTCCAGAGAAGCATCCCCAGAGCAGGACGCTGCCGCCACCAAGCTTCCCGCTGGAGATGGTGTGTGTGTGCGTGTGTGTGTTTGTGTGTGTGATGTGCTGTTCACCAAACACAGCTTCTATTCTTCCAATTGATTCTGGAGTCTCCTGCATGCCTTTGGGCGACTTCCAGGCGAGATTTCACATTAGCTGTGAAGAACACTGGCCACAGCTGTGCCTCCCATCCAGGCCGCTGAAGCTTTTAACGCCTTCGCAGTGGTCGTAGGTGTCTTGGTCACCCGTCTTCTTCTTGCTCAGTCACTCAGTTTGTGTGTACCAGCAGATTTAAACACTAAAAAGATATTTTACACAATGTATTTTTAATTTATTGGCATTAGTTTGTCAAATCTGTTTTCTGCAAAGCAAATTATTCTAAGATAAAATATATTGACCATGATTTCATGTATAAAAGCAAGAAAAGGGGAAAGAATCCAAGGGGTGTAAAGACTTTGCACAGGCATTGTACAAATATGTTTGCTGGAGTGCTAGAAATCATTACAGCTTCTTATTTAGGCTGCTGAAAAACAAGCACTGCAGAACAGCTACAGACTCTGTGCTTATTGATCTGGATGTGATTTAATGCTTGGCATACAACGCTCATCTTTCACAGGACACAGCGAGTAGAACAACAGTACTATAATTAGGTTACATTTCATGAATGAAAGCAATGGATGGATGGTATGACTTTTCCGCAGACACACACCAATGTTTGTATGTCGTTTGTGGATACGAACTCTGCGCCACTTGAAGGATGATCACTTTAGTGTTAGTCTGCTTAAACATAATCTCTCATTGTTAAAAATGAAATAAATGCAAAACACAAGATGTGTTGGTATATCAGCGACTGGAAAACATACGATACATATGAAAACATGTAAACTGCTCTTCAGCATCTGTTGAAACTAGATGAGGATTATACCCGAATGATCGGTGTGGGGAGAGGGGTTAATCCTTGTTCCCCTCTGGTAAAAGAATAATAAATAGTTTCTTTAAGGCTTTACTTTGATTTTGGAAAAAAAAAATGCAACTCCAACATGATTGCCACAACCTGCATCATAAGTGATGGAAAACGATCGCCTTTTTAAACGATGGCACAAGTTTCATTAAAGCTATTAAAGGAACACAAGTACGAAACACAACACTCTGACCGCCGACTAGCATCAACCCCAACCTTCTGACCCGCTATCTATTTGTTGCACCAACCAGAGAATCCATCTGCTCTCGCAAATGGGCCCTTGGTCTTTGTTATAATAGTTTCTTGTAACATGTAAAGCTTATGACAGACAGACAGACACGACCGAAACAGGCTTCTCCTCAACCCCCCCCAACGTGTGTCACAGTCTCACACCACACCTTTTTCTTCGGCAGAGAAAATAATGTAAAGGGAGAAACTTTGCAGCAATGAATGAATAACTAAACGTGTTCAGAGTGAAGATTAGGGGTAATTACACCTTCCTTAATGAGGTGCTTTGAAGATACAGCATTTGAAGAGGGGCTCGAGGTCTTTCGGAGAGCATTGAGGTTACCGTCGCACTGCCTCCTCGGCACACCTTGGGCAGGCTTCCCACTTTCCACCGTGGCAAATGAGATCTGCTTAGGGAGTCTCTCGCTCTCCGTCTGATACGCCGCCTCTTTAGCAGGATTCAATTGAGTGTAAATGTCAGCAGGTCGTTCTAGAGCTTCATATGGAGTTTAAGCAAAAGTGGCATTTATGAAGTGTTGACCATATGGCGGCAGCCGGTAATAGCTCAGTGCTGCTCTGGCATTGGTCCAAGGGGCTGACCATGTGAGCAATGCGACGATGAACCACGTACCCTTGCACTGTAATAAGTGATCTTTAGGTCGGATTTAAAATAGAATAATGCGTCTACTGTGACATGTGACGCCAACCACAGATATCGCAGGACAAACATGTGACATCACATGTCAATCTATCAAAGTCTACAAATTTAACCTTGTTTTATATATATATATATATTTATAGCGATGGCTTACAGAATTATGCACACCAGTTGTACGCCTCGGGGAGCAGATTGGCCTAAATACAGTGTAACACGTAGCAGTGCTAACAGCGAGCGCAAAGTTAAAATCAGACATCCACAGTAATTAAGTCGGCAAAAAGGCAACTGATTTTAACTCGGTCGGAATCATTCGTGCAAAGTCTGTGTAAGATAAAAATGAAAATTCAAGTGTCTGCATCCCTACATTTTATGAGTGCTGCAGCATTTATGGTGAGTTTAGGTGAGTATTTGCTTTACTTGCCGTTTATTAATTCAGATAATTAGTGCTTTAGGGATTGGAAGTCTCCTTGTTTATTTAGTAAAACTCCTTTTCCTTAGTGTCATTACTCAGAGCCGGAATTTGTGAAAGTGGATGTGGATCTTTGCAGCCACGTGCGCAGCGCTTCATTTCACATTTAAGACCAACGCCTGCTTGGAGAATTGAAAAGTGCGCAGCAGAAGTGCTTTGATGCACGCATGGCCTCATTTTCCTGGGACAGATAACATAAGCAAGGATTGGCTTTGGATAATTAAAGATGAGCTGAAAACAATCTCTTCAAAAACAAACAGGGAACTGTGCAAGTAGAGGCATCATATATTCTTGGTCAGGGATCAAGAGGGAGGAAATGCAATCTTGTGAAGTGTAATGCACGTGCTGATCTACTGGATGCTTACCAGGTCAGATGTATGTATGCA